TAGGTATCTTCAATACGACTTTGTTGGATTCTCGTGGGACGATGAGGAAGATTTGGTTCGCTCCTCTCTGTTGACGAGCAACAAGAAAAGGATAAATGATCTAGACTATCAGGTTGCAGTCCAAAGTGACTTTCAACGAACGATTCAGGCAATGGTACAAGTAGGGCCAGGAACAGCAGCAAGTCAAATCTGCGCAAAGGCCACGGAGGCAAAAAGATGGATGGTGTCACAACTGGATCACCCCAAAGATGGATTTGCCAGTGAATTCCAGTATGTTTCGAGGCTATTGCAAATGTCAGTGTCAACGCAGCGTCATCTTGTGCTTACTCCCGAATGGCAATCGGCTTATGAACCCCCTGATTGCCGTCCCAAGCTGGACGAAGATCAATCCGGGTGGGACTGCCTGTGGGAACCCATGCTTCCTGCTTGCTCTACTGAACAGATACAACGACAACAGAATGCAGAGAATCCAGACACAGCCAACAACAACAACAACAACAACAACAGGCAGATGCTCTCCGACAGCAATCCTCTCAGTGTTGGCATCCTACCCAAGAAGAAAGCTACCAGCAACTGGTTTGACGTGGCTTGGTACTCGCAACAACAACAACAACTGCAAAGCATCATGTGGGCTCCAACCAGTTTTTCTCGGAAAAAGACGGACCAGTTGAAGCCAGATATCATTCCACACTGGGAACGTATGTATGGACGGTACTGGGTGCGGGCACAAATGGCCCATGCTTTGTGGCGTCCAAACACGTTTCTACGAAACAGCATTGCCAACAGACTTCCTCCTGCGGATGGATTGTTCCAATTCATGATGATGAATACTACCCATGATTATACTCCACTGTTTATTGGATTTCATATTCGTCTCACAGACAATGCACAAGACATGCAACGGCACTTTGCCCGCAATGCTACTCAAACCAGGAACCTGGCCAGGTTCATGGCATTTGCAGAGAGGATTCGGAGTCTTCATGCTGCTGCTGCAGTCTCTTCTTCCAGCAACTCGAGGGAGCAACCACCAACGCTTGACACGATTTACCTTGCCACTGACAATCGGGATATTCTGAAACAAAGCAAGGATCCTCAATGGAAAGAACGTGGCTGGACATTTGTCACACAAACAAATACTGTGGAACGATCCACCACCACCGATAAACGCATGTGGTTCCGAGAAGGCCGCAGTGGCGCTGCTGGAGCTATTGCCACTGATATAGAAGTCTTGCGACGGGCGGATTATCTTGTGGGATCATTTCAAAGCAACGTTTATCGTCTGGCTTGCCAACTCAACACGGCCTGGAATGTGCACAAGTATCCATGGGAAGTGCAGCGCCACTGGACGGTCGATGTCGAATGGTACGAAGATCCATAAAAACTGAGATCTGTCCGCCAGCAAGCAAGCTAGCTAGCTAGACTTCTTCTCCACAATGAAAGGCTCCTATTGATCGACAGCGAGCTTCTTCCGTCGGTCGACACATCGATGATTGCTTCCACGGAGCGAGCCTCTTTTCGGAGGGACCATGGCGCCTCCGCGGAACCAACTGCCGTGATGCCTCTATCTGTGGGAAGAAGTGGAAATTGGAACAACAACTGAATGTCTACTAACGGATTCAGACAAAAAGTGCTTGAGGACGACCCACGAGCGCAGCTAGTCTAGCAAGAAAATTGAACGAACATAGCGGGCTTTACAGGGGAACAACGGGAGAATCGGAGCTCGAGCTCAACCAGCAGCAGAGCAGAAGGATGGATCATTGCAGCATGGCCAAGAGAAGTGTACCACACCAAACCAAGGAATTGGAACAGTGAAAAAAGTGAGTGGTCGCAGTGGGATGTTGGATTGTGGACACTTACCGCCTTCCAGGAATGTCCGGTATAACGTGCGTGTTTGTGGAAAGAATCTGAGCAACAAATGGCTGTAACGCCGTCGTAAAGAGGCCCACGGCCAATGTGCAAACGAATTTGCCTGGATTCCCATGGTTGCCTCCCTGGGCAGCATCAATACCGGTTATACGGGCCAGCACGAAAGTGTCAGGAGGAACGTAAATGCGGATTGGAGCTTTGCTATTGCCACCATCTGGCCAATGATTCAAACTCCGTTCCTTCCCTGGAGAGAGCGCAATGGCAGACACACGGAAGAAGAAGGCAGTCTCCTGTTTCGTTCGAGACTTCGTGTCCCTTGTCGCGATATTCTCTAGGACCCACACCACGATCAAGGTCGACGACATCTCCGAAAATGAAGCCAACTTGGTCGATATGAGGGAACTGTCGACTTGTCTGCTTGGTAATCATCAGCAAGGCATTTCGTCGGTATGCCGTCCCAAGAGGCAGCCGATCGGCACGAAAGGCCCAGTCATCGTTTACGTCGTCTTTGAATGCTTTAGCAAGATCGGTTGTTGAAGGGGAGCGGGTAAGACACGGGATCCACCAAACTTGTCACATTTCGCACAAAGAGGACTGGATCCTTTCCGTACCATAGCTAAATAAATTCCCTCCCGTGCCAACCCCTTCCAATCCGATGTTTGCAGAGTTTCAGTGTGTAAACGATTTGCCCGATTTGAAGCAAGCGGTACGGGTGTACCGTACAAACCCAACCAATTTCCGCAGATGGAGGCATCATGGCAGTTGGTTCCATGGAAGAGGAGACGCCATGGAAGAGGAGACGACATGGTCCTCTGCAAAAGAGGCTCGATCCGTGGAAGCAGTCGTCGATCCGTCGGGCGAAGACGTAGTGATGCAACGAAAGGAAGAAGCTCGCTGCCGCTGCCGCATCAGAGGAGCCTTTCATTGCGGAGATGAAGTACGGGGTCTTTGAACTCCCGTGAACACCATTTACCTTTCTGTGTGGTTCCACTGCTGCTGCTGAGGAAAGCTTCCCTATGTCTCCAAAGGAGCTACACAAGGGTTGGCTTGATGGCGCCTGCAGTCTCTTGAGCCTTCTGTCCTTTGCATTTGGAACCAATAATGGTATCGTTGCATGGCTCTGAGAGAGAGTTCGAGAGAGAGCCAATGAAGCAAAAGAGGAGGAAGGACACAATGGCTTGTGGGTGCGTTGTGATTGTGTCATCTGGACCTGGCACCAATCTAGACGAACGTATCTGGAGTCTTGGAGGGAGGAAACCAAGCATTTACGGCGACGATTGTACCCATCTGGTGCTGCTGTGGAACGCTTCTTTATATCTCAAAAGGACCAAGAATGCATGGTGTCGTTGCATAGCTCTGGAAGCGTGCCAATGAAGCAAAGGAGGTACGACACAATGGCTCGTGGCGCACCGATTAATAGAGTTGAATCATTGGCCAAATGGTGGCAAGATCAAAGCCCCAATCCGTATCTACGTTCCTTTGGGCAATTTTGTGCTGGCTCGTATATTGATGCTGTTCATGGAGGCAACCTTGGGAATCCAGGCAACTTTCGTTTGCATGTTGCCTTTGGGCCTCTCTACAACTGAGTTACAGCAAGGGCGAAGAAGCTGGGCTTCCCTGACCACGACCCAGTGGTGAGCTACCACACGGAAGGATGATGTCCGTGGATTGCGGGAGCTTTCGAGACGGGGGATGGTACAGTGATCCCAAGGGGAAAGTTGAGTTTTGCAGAAGCGAAGCCCCAATTGCAATTCAAGATAGATGAATCCAGCCACGGAATCACCTCTTCTTAGCCGGGCAAGCTACTCGACAGGAGCATGCCGACGTGGCTGTAGGCCGCACTGGGTGTTCACGCAAGCGCAAGCGCACCCAACGAAGGGTTGTTCATGTTTCCCAGCGATTTGGTTTCAAGTCACAATGCACCAGGATTTTTGCTTGTGTTTTGAACTTAATTTTACTGCCATTTGGTGCTCTGATTCTTTTGAGCAATGAGCACTGGACGTGGGGAAAGCCAATATACCGGCACATGCCTGGAAGGAGCTTTGCAAAAGGAAGGCCCAGTTGCGATTCAAGATCCTTGATTCACCAAGTCCATGGAATCACAATCCCCTCTTGTTGGTTGGGCAAGCTCCACCACACAAAAAACCTGAACGTCAATAAACGGATTCAGACAAGATGTGCTTGAGGATGACCCACCGGACCACAGGAGCATGCCGATGTGACCGTGGACGCCAGTGGGTCTTCACGCAAGAAAGACGCACCAAGTTTCCCCCCCAAGCAGCGACGTAGGTTGTTTTTAACCTCTCCTCGTTGCTTGTGTTTTGACGTCCATCTTACACACCATGTTGCTCATATTCTTATGAGAAACGAGCAAGCTGAAGAGGCGGAGACCAATGCACATGCCTGGACGACGACGGTACGATTGGAATCACATGGCAACACTGCAATCACTTGAATTCTCGAGGAGATCTTCCTCTGGACCTGAAACCAATCCAGAGTACCGTATCTGGAGTCTTGGTGGGCGGAAACCAAGCATTTACGGCGACGATTGTACCCATCTGCGGCGCTGCTGTCGAATGCTTTTTGACATCTCCATCTGAGCAACTCAAGGGGTTGCTTCATGGTGCTCGCAGTCTCTCGAGCCTGCTTTCCTTTGCATTTTGAACCCAAAATGCATGGTGTCGTTGCGTGGCTCTGGAAGCGCGCCAATGAAGCAAAGGAGGTACTTGTGCCACACAATGGCTCGTGGCGCAAGAGACCGATTGGAGTATTGGAGACAGACAAACATACACTTTTGCGATCATCGTAGTCGTTCCAATAGATTGTTTTTAGTAGACTAAACGTCATAAAATTTTAAAAGACATAGAAGTTGTCCAGGGGATTCCCCCCTTTCTCATGGCTCAGTGTACCAGTAGATATTAATTGCATCCCTTCGTGTCCAAGCACTGCCAGAGCGAGTCAAACCAACTCGATTCCAATACAAACCCATAATCTCTCTGCGTCTCTCTCTTTCTCATTTCCACAACTGCTCGTTCTTCAAGGCCGCACAGAGACGACTGTATCGTTCATAGGACAGTCGATTCGACCATCCGTAACCATGATCCACCAGAGCACCAAATCCCGAAAAGGTAATCTCGCACGTCGGTGGAACCACCATGCCACGAAATGTCAATTCCCCCGCCGTCACACGGAGCACACCACCCGCTTGATGGTACCACTCACTAGACGTAATGGAATTGAATTGTTGCGGATTCAAAATGGGCAATGTGCCGCCAACGTGGGCATTGCGACGACCGTAAAAGCGACCTCCCGACACGGCCGAGAACTTTTGCAATTGCGGACATGCACATCGTACCCAAATGCCCTTGTCGACGTGGAGCGTCTGCAGCGACTTGGAGGCAACCACGAAACGCAAATTGTTGCGCGAGACTTCTTCGTCATTATGGTCTTCCGCATTATCATCATCATCATCGGAATCGTCATCATCATCCGACGACGAGGACCAACCGACGTTTTCACGACGAATCAATGGAGGCGGTCCCGACGAGTTCGAGTCGCTGTCGTCCGTATCGTCATAATGCTGCATGGGGCGAGCCCGTAGTGGTGGTGGACCATCGTCGTCCGAGTCATCGTCATCGGAAGTTTCTCGAGCCATCAAGGGTGGCGGTTGCTCTGCATCATAATCATCATCACTGTCGGAATCGTCATCATCACTGAGTTCTCGAGGCATCAAGGGTGGTTCATCACTATCCGAATCGTAGACTGTTGGTCGCCGTGCGAGACCTGGCATGCCACCGTTGTCACGATGTGGTGGTGCAACTGGTAGATGTCGGAGTGGCGGGAATTCATCATCATATGCAGCCAAATCCTGCCCTACAAATGCAGGCATGTTGGCGTCGTCACGATGTGGTTGTGGCGGTGACCAACGAAGTGGCGGTGGTTCATCGTCATCATCTACCGCTGGCCGCGACACGAGACTTGGCATGTCGTCATGATGATCTCGATGTGGTGGTAGAATTCCCTCTACAAGATCTGGCATGTCGTCGTCGTCGTCAGGCTCGGCTCCTTGTGTTTCTTGCATCGTGACATTTGCGATTGAGTCATCATTATTGTTGTTGTTGTCTTCTCCTTCCAACCTTTCCTCGTCGCCATCACTATCCTCTTCGGATGACGACGACGACGACGAAACAAGTGGCCGCGGCACGAGGGCTCGCAAATCCCGGGGAGTGGATGCCGTGTCATCATCGTCATCATTGTTGTTGTCATCATTGTTGTTGTTGTTATCATTATTGTCATTGTTGTTATTGTTGTTGTTACCATTGAATGGGAAATGATTGTCGAGAAAAAACATGCGGGGTGGATTGAGAAAGATACGAGGCACCATGTAGGGCGCAAAGTCCATATCTCTGTGTAGAAGCATTCGAAGGGGCAATTCGTCTTGTGCCGAAAATCGACTCCATAGTTTGAGCCATGCCGTTTGCAGCGAGGTCATGTTGGCCATAATGTTGGAGACCAATTGGATAGGGGGACGTGTGGGTTGTTCCGTAGGTCGTCCCCATAACGATGGTTGCTTTTTCTTGAAAAAGACTTCCAATTGTTGAATGGATTTCATGGCAAAGAGCGGATTGTCCATGGCAACGGTATTGTTGGCTGGTAGAACCAAGGAGAGAGACTTCAGATTGGAGCATTTGGTAGCTAGAGCCTGGTAGATCAAATCCAGTGGATCTTCTTCTTCCTTGAGAAACGCCTTTACCACTTTCAAATGATCCTTAATATCACACTGATGGACCAAATTGACAATTCGCAGCAAATTTGTAGTTGCAGTGTCTTGCGTAGCAGGAAGCAAACTCTGCAGATCCAAAAATCCAATCTGCATCTTCTTTTGACACGCCCAAACAAGTCGCTGCTCATTCTGAATGTCAAAGATAGTACCACTACTAACACCACTGACAATCTTGATGTACAGAGGACCAACCATGACACTGGCGTACTCTTGACACAAACTACGCCACAGTTGACACACGCCCGATAACTGACAGTACAACTTGTACGCATCCTCAAGAGTCAACATGGCCAATGGAGGAGACGGAAATTCATCATTGTCGTCTTCTTCTTGTTCTTGTTCTTGTTGGCAGGATCCTCCCAAAAAAGAAAGAATGTACACCGAAAGACCATCGTACTGTTCCAGTGCCTTTAAGGGATCTCTCATTGTCTCTTTCTTCTTCTTCTTCTTATCACTACTACCAACAGTACTACTACTCATCGTTGTTGCAACTGTAGTACATGTAGTGGCGTCCGACATCTTCTTCTTTCTTCTCCTTGGTCTTCTACTACTAGTACTTCTATTCGTTGAGAGATAGACAGATCTACTTTTGCTTGAGAATGCCGTGCCGTGGAGAACTTGATGGAAATGGCGGCAGCGCAGACGCCAGTCATGCTCAGAACTTATGATTGTATAACTGTTACGGTTAAGCGAGAGCCAATGCTGGCGTGGCGTGGAAACCACGCTGTGGATGCATGGCAACACTTGCCAAAAACAAGATGCAAGGAAAGACACTACCGTATGTCCTTGGCTGTTTATTTACGTTGCGACTGTAGATACCGGTACACGTAGTGCTACCGGTACATATAACCGGCCAAGCAAGTGCGTGTAGTCTTTGTTGTTTTAGAATGGCTACGACGGGTGCAGCAGCTGCTACATGCAAGAAAAACAAATACTAAATAGATACGTTAATAAGGAGCGGGGGCGAAGCTACACGCATGCATTCAACACCATCTTTTGCAGACAACGCACGTTATTACCCCCAATCATCATCTCTTGCTTCTTGGTTGACCATCGAACGATACGGTAGCAAGGAAAGAACAAACGAAACGTCGTCTGGGGCACACGACGTTTGTGGTCCAGTTAGTTGCCGCTGATGCATGTCCACTTTGGGAATGTGGAGAAGGGCGATGTGATTGCGGCTCGCTGCCTTTGTAAAAAGGCGATGGCCCATCTCAACATTCAGCTCGCCGTAAAGAGATGGGCCAATGATAGGAACCAGCACCGGCTTCTTGTACGGTACTTTGGCCGCATTGCGGAGTAGGAATCCACGTTTTGCTTGCTTGCTTGCTTGAGCGGCGCGAGATCCTACCAATAGGTGACGAGTCGAGTCGAGTGACAGTGAGCTTTTATCAACCTTTCGCATTTTATAAAGCTACCTGAAGCACGTAAATGGCATTCTTGAGGAGTTGAGTCAGTCCTTTCCAGCTAGTTGTCGTGTCCACTAGCTACCGTACGCTGTAACTACGCATACCTAGCTAGCTGGCTGGCTACAAGCAATGATGATGATGACGATGATGGCTTGTCAAACCTTTGTCGGACACTGCGTCCCATGAATCGACATTCGGTATCCTGATTGATAATGTAAAAGACAATGAGCATGACCTTGTAGGCCATGGCATAGACTTGTTGCTGTCCCATCCAGGGTGTCGCCTGTTTGGCTTCTTGTTCGACGACATCAAAGTCGATGCGCTCCAAGGCTTCCTGGAGGAGCTTGCGGACAAGCACCGGATCGCTCCAATAGCGTGTGTAAGTGTCGTGTGCCTTTTTCTGTGAAAAGGTCCACTCCATGGAATAAGCTCCATTATGTACCGACACGGACGAACTGAGCATGAGATCCATCAAGATGGATGTCAAGACGTGTAGAATATTAATGAGCAAAAATCGTCGCACGGCTGTCGGACAGGTGCCCAGCACCGGTCCCACGACACGGGGTTCTTGGAGTAGGACCTCTGCCACAATCTCAATGACTGGAAAGGGCATGGCAAAGGCAGGATTGTGAATCAGTGGATTATTTTTGTTGTTGTTGTACATGTTACTAGTAGAATGCTGATACTCGTAGACAATGGGATGTCCTGCCAGTTTTCCCTGGTTGAGTGGATGGTTCCAACCAGTAATGGTGCTTTCAAAGGCATGAATGAATGGCTTCCCACACGAGTACGCGATGGAGTTCCGTCAGGTCCATGAGATGGGGAGCGGCAGTCCCTAGATTCAGTGGCAACTTGACCAATGTGTCGTCTTTCATCAACGATCGCACATAGGCATTCACCATTTCTTCGTCCTGTAACGTCGTCGTTGTACTATGACTGCTACCACTATAAGTGGCAGTATCTTCTTTCTCACTGCTACTCTCTTGCCGTTCGGCTTCTGCTGCTTGTTCCTCGTGACAATGCGTGGTATACGTCAGAGCTTTAAAGCTCGCAATCGCAACAACAGACAACCCCATTACAGTCCCAAACACACTAGTGCTGCCTTGATTGTTGTTGGTCGGTATTACGTGTAGTGATCGAAGGATGGATGGGACGGAACGACACCTGGAAGAAGCATGATGAGTCCAACAATGGAGTTTTGGCTTTAGAATGCGAGGCTCTAGTCTAGTAGTGCAGACTGCAATCAGCTGTCGGTAAAGCCTCTTTCCTATGATTGTCATTGTGTACTGTACGAATCCTTTCCAATTCAATTCAAGCCTCCATTACATGGCTATTGGCACTCTGGTTGTCCTGTCAAGTCACCGAAGAAAAGATCCCGTATCTTTGGATTTTACGGTACCGGTACGGTAGGGCCAGAGTTATAAGGTGAGTCCTACTCACTCGTGACTAATAGGAAATCGAGGCGACGCAGCATCCTGATTGCATCCAGCTAATAGAGCCATGCGTACCGGTAGCTACTGGTACACTTCCTTGCTATCGTTCGATGGTCAGCCAAGAAGCAAGAGATGATGATTGGGGGTAACGTGCGTTGTCTGCAAAAGATGGTGTTGAATGCATGCATGTAGCAGGGAGGAGCAGGAAAACGCATTACACTACTACACAAGCCATTACACACTACATGCAAGTACTATTTTATAAGGGCATTCAACAAGCTACCCTTTTTGGTTGATTACATGAGCACTCAACAGGTTGCTCCTAGATTGGTTGGTTGTTGTAGTTGTTTACAGTGTGCCTAACACACATCAAAGCCATGGCTGTTGTTGAGTTTGTCTAGTGATGAGGGGTCAGGTTGTTGTATTCAATATCACCCTTCTTCTTGCCCCTGGCATGCCTCTTCCTCATGACAAAGGATTGAGCTACCCTTTTCTTCCTTTTCTCAGCCAAGTCAACATGGCAGAACAATGCACCAGACTCAAAGCTGGGGAAGGTCACATTGAGGGTAGAGGGATCAACTGGAAATGGCAGCTCCATAGTGAACTCTGAAATGACATCACCCCTGACATCAAGGATGGACCTGACATACTGCTGCATGGCATGGCGCCTGACATTGGTATCCTCTAGGTTTTCCTTTGTGTGTTGTTGATAGAGATAATAGAACTCCCCAATATCCAAGAGGTCTTGGTGCCACTTCTCACTGATAGTCAGCTTCTTGCCATTCGCAGAGACCATGGTTTCGATGTCGGCTTCAGTCGCGCCACTGCTGAGCCACACAATGATAGTCACATGGCGAATGCCATGTTCGTTCTCCCATTCCTTGACCATCCTCTTTGGTTTCCAAGTAGTGGGTCCATCCTCTTCGGTAACATCATCCTCATCATCGTTGTCAGCAATGGAAGGAAGCTGCGCAACTGCAGGAGGCCTGGCTGCCACGACAGGTACTTGGTTGCGAGGAACAAAGCTGGGAAGAATGGGTAGTGGTCCATCATCATCTTGTGGTGGTTGTGGTCCTCTGAGAGCAACACCGGCAGCCATTCCTCTGGCTTTGTTGAACTGAGAGCGAAACTGGTTTGTGGAGTACTTCTGGAATCGCTCATGCATGGCTCTCACAGCGGCGGGTTGTTCATCAGTGATGGTTCCATTGTGGAATAAGCGAAGTAGGAACTTGAAGTCTGGACCATCTTGCTTGAAGATATGTTTGACAGGTTCCCCTTTCTTTGTCACGCTCTTTCTGGAGGACATGGTCGATCTGCCGCTTGTTGATCTGCCGCTTGCTGTTTCCTGCTTGGCCAATTGCTGTTGCTTTGGTTGGTGTTTTCGATTTGTGAGAAGAAGATAGGAAGAGCGCCATTTGGAGGAAGAAGATCAGCATCTTGGTTTGCCACTACTGGTATCAGTGGAAGTTTACTGGTTGTGCAGTTTTGTGCAGTTCGCTCTTGTCAATACCAGCAAGATCGATCTTGCCGGTATTGCCAGGAGCTTGATGGGATTAAACTTTCAGACGCATGTGGGTCACTCGGAGAGTTAAAGGTCATACTGGTTCACATGGTCATTCTAACAGCTCTCGATTTTTCTATTCCTCTCAGCTCATGTGAAAAGGTGGGCTGGACGTTTTCCAAGGCCTGCCGGACGTTTCTCAACTGCCCAATCGAAATTGTTATCAATTGTTTGCCACATTTCTATCCTTCATTTTGCATCCCTGTGCTATGGGTGTGCTACGCCCATCACAGAACGCACCCACACTCATATCGCCCTTTGAAGGTAGCAATATAGAACACTACAAAGACCTAGCCTGTTCAACTTGGGCGTTCCCTTCTTTACTAGTAATAGACAGTGCACCTGAGCCTTCTTTGGCTATGAAGGTGGTCTTCTAGGTTTCTATATCGCCTCCTGAAATTGGCGATCCAGGCCATCAGGACGTCCTGGAACGCTTTTTACCAGGGCGTTGTACACTCCTCAGCGCTGTAAACAGCCATTACTAAGGTTGGATCAACTACTCAGAAGTATACTACAGCAGCCTCTATTGGCTAGACAGATTGATCTTTGACCATAGCTTGCATATCAGCTGGTCGCTTGGACGTTCTAGGTGTAATGGGTGGAATGTGGCGATTTTTGTCTTCTTGGATGAAAGGCGCAGCTTGCCATAGCATTATAGACAAAAATGTGGGCAAGAAAAAGGACCTGATTTGAATAATTCCGCGAAATCTGATACCCATAAGTACGAAACGTCCAGTGGTCCTCTCTTAAGCAGGTTCTCATTCTGCCATTCCGAGTGGCAATTCCTTTCCTGGTGTCAAGCAACCAGCAAAGCAGTCACTATTCAACCAAGCGACACCACCATGACCACACCATCTCTTTTGACCATCTCTTCTTGCCGGTACCGACAATGGCGTCTTTCCAAGCATCTCCTTTTTGGTCTTACAAGGTTGTCGATGGTCACAGCCTACTGGATAATACAGAGCGCTACAGGTAAGCTGGACATGACTAGACTGGATCTATTATCTTCGAGTTTTCTGTCAGCTTCGAAATTCTCACAAAATTGACTTTCCCTCTTCTACAACAACATGCAGATAACAGCTGATACTGTCATACGCACTGCTTCCATCTACCAAGGGCTCACAGCAAGAGCAGTCAACCATGAAACGTACAGGTACAATCGGACGTTTCGAGGATGCTTTGGTGTCTGTCCTGAGCTGGCAGCGGAACTGTGGAACATGTTGGACGATGAGGATCCCCTCAGTGATATTCGATGGGTGACCTACTTCCTTGCCACACTCATGTTCCTGCGCACTTACACAGTCACTGCTGTTCTGGCCATGATATTCATGAAGGATGAAAAGACCATTCGGCATTGGGTGTGGGTATTCATCGAGAAGATCGCGAGCTTGGACTTGGTGAGCGATGAGCAAGAATTCGCTTTCTTCTTCATTTTTATCCATCGCCGTCTTCACCAACAGAGAGCCCTCACCATGTACATGCTGTTGCACTCCAACACCACTCCTCCAGATCAGATGGGAGTACCGACGAATGAATGACAATGGCAGTCGGTGTCTGGTAACTGTTGATGGAACTGATTTTCGCATCAGGGAACCAGGTCCTTTCTCTACTGGTTGGTATACCAAGAAGTTTAATGGTCCTGGACTGAGGTATGAAATTGCTGTATGTATTCAAACTGGATGGATTGTGTGGATCAATGGTCCCTTCCCTTGTGGTGAATGGGTTGATATTGCCATTTCTTTGTCATCTTTGGTCCACATGTTTGAGGGAGATGAGAGAGCTGTGGCTGACAAGGGGTACAGGGGGTATCCTCAGTACTTTGACTGCCCATGGAGACACCTTGACAATCAACAACAGACTAGCAGGAAGGCTCTTGCAAGGGCCAGGCACGAATGTGTCAATAGGAGACTCAAGGAATGGGGCTGCCTCCTTCAGAGGTGGCGCCATTCCCTTGATAAACATGGTAAGATGGCCCATGCTGTGGCCAACATTGTGCAGCTCCAAATTATGGACAAGCCGATGTGGCAGGTGGAGTACTATGATAGAGTCAACAATGAGTTTGACTTTGATTATTAAATAGTTTGTAGTTACTCTAGTTGCAGCCTCACTATTAGCCATAGCATTGACAGTCAACAACCAACCAGTCTAATCAGGTGTGTAATGCTTGTAATGCGTTTTCCTGCTTCTCCCCGCTGCTGCACCCGTCGTAGCCATTCTAAAACAACAAAGACTACACGCACTTGCTTGGCCGGTTCTATATATATGTAGTAAAAAGTTGCTTTGCAAAAGATGCTTGGTGGCACTGGAGGGGGTGGTGAAGGCAGCCACAATCGACCATTACTCGCTCGATTCGATGCGTTTCTCGATACAAGAAGATGCATGCCACAGCTACATTAGACTACCTGGTATCACTCTACGAGTAGCTAGCTATCCTTTGGACGATGCATGAAATGGTCGGAGTGGCTGCCTCAATCTGGTTCGGTACTGTACTTAGCTTGCACGGTCTGTTTGTTGTGTACAATATATATTCAATCACAGCTAGCTAGCACTACATGTATCTACAGTGGCAGCCAAGAACATATATATGTAGGGGGGTTGTAGTCCGCTTGTCTAGCTACATGTATGCATACTTGAATGCTCCTCGGGTGTGCTGGTTCTTTATCTTTGGATTTTGTGAGAGTACGAGCTTGGCCAGTGCTTATTGTGCATGGGTATCCACATCGGTTCGCACCCCCGTCAGTTGGGCATTAGCGGCCCGGCGTGCCTGCATTTTTATTATTATGTTTGGGCTTCATATCTTTCCGAACGAAAAATCGTCAACAATGACGATAGAGCCGTCGCCACAGGGCATTTCCACCACCTATTCGGGCGCTAGCTAGCTAGTGCCGCTCATGAGCCATTGTGTGTCCCATGGAAGCCCCATGAAAGGATAATGAAATGAGCAGAATTCAGGGCAATTTTTTGAGCTGATCGCGATCGGTGGAGGAGGACGTTCCTCCATGGATGCAGTTGGTACGTGTTGATTTCGTGATAAAGAGCTACATTTATTGGCATAAGAAAGACTGTTTTTAAAATAGTATCAAACATATTCTGCTTTTGCCTGGTAGACACCACCAATATTCTCGTCCGTGACAAATGCATGGATCAGACCAGGATGGTGGGACTTTGCTGAAGCACACATATTCGAAGTGATCTTTCCACCCTTCCAGAATTACATAGCCATTCATTGAGTGCGTGTATCCCTCTGGGAGTGTCTGGGAATTTCGATCGGTTGCTGCTGACGCATTGTCCGCCGATTTGAGTGCTTTCTTCGTCTTCTTGTACGGGGCCGTCTTCTTGCCCTTGAATCGCTCATCTATCATTGCTTGCACTGCTTCTACTTCCGGTCGACACTGGAGCATAATCCTTCGAAAGATCGTGTATGCTCTTGCTTCCGTACTTGTCATGCAAACCAATGGTTGCCGAATCGATTCAATGCACTTGTGGGCTGATTCAAATCCCTCCTCGGAGCACCGTCCTACCATCAAGTTATCCAATGCAAAAGCTGACAGGTGAGAGTGCAGAACATGGAGTTTGTTGAATACGTTTGTCTCCTCTCCATTTTCATCATCGCTTTTGAATGCCAACCATCGTTGCGCGTATTGTCGAATAATGCTCTCAAACCTTGTTGCCTCCTCATTAGACCATTTGCTTTGGGATTTCAGCATTGTAGATATCTTGTAAAGCAGTTCGGTCAGACCACAGTATGACTCCATTGCTTGCATTACCATAGATCGGAGCTGCGAGTTGTCGCTAAAGAGCTGACTCATTCTCTTTGAAATGAGGTCTCGGCGTTCAAGGACTCGAAGTCCATCGCCATTCGACAACTCGAAGCCACTGTTTTCAATTCGGAAGGAGACTCTTCCATCCACCTCATAGGACTTTCGAAAGCAGTAGGTAGCAGGGCCAATTATTCGACTTTTTGTTTTCTTGGCAACGCCGTCGAGGAAATCCTTTCCTTTTTCAAGAAAAAGCTTGGCAGACTCGATTCCTTTGGTGAGAGCCAACAAGTCTCTCCGAATACGACAGCGCTCTTCCTTGATGGACGCAATCTCATGGCTCATCGATAATCGCATTGCTGTTGTGGCGCCTCTTTGTAGCCTTGTGTCTTTCTTTCGAAGATTGTCAGCTTGTCTAGTTGCGTCTGGGACAAAGCTTTTAGCTTCGTCGAGCAAACATTTCATTCGCTCCAACCATGGAAGCTCTCTATCAACCCTACCCAACACGTCTAACATTCTCATTGTGCAGTGCGTGAGGAGACCACTAGACACATGCATCCCAGATCCAGAGTTTCGGTCGGGAGGAGTGTTGAGTAACGGCGAATGGACCACACTATGATACTTTAATTTCAACGTTTTGGCTTGTCCTGTTGAGGTTGCTCTCACCCAATCAGCTCTACCACCCGCATCTTCAATAAACGCGTCAAACAAAGCAGGATTTGCGTAGTCGTCTCTTCGGAGTGGAGGCTGCTCGCTTGATGGGAGAGTAAGATAGCGACCGAAATCCTTCTTCTTGCAAATACACATTGTACAAGGACACATGACGCTTGCTGTGCCTTGCCCCATTACAGCCGTGTTGCACTTGATATCATCCGCAGTGATGCATCTTATTTGAAGACACTTGATTTGCACAAGACTTGTTGACTGGCAGTGGAGTGACTCTTGGAATCTCGCATGCAGGATGTCGCGACCAAAACAGTTTGTGAGAACGAAGCCAACGTATTCTGTCTCCTCATTTTCATCCTCTCCAACCAACTGTATGAATTGTTTGTTTCTGTTGTTGTCCGGTCGCGATGCCTCTTCCTCATTGAAGATTGAAACAATAGCGGGCAACTCACTTTCGAGAGACTCTAATCGAAGCGTGTTGCTGTCAGCAAGTCGATCCAAACGAAGAGTTGTGTTGCATTCGATAATGCGGCACTGAGCATCCAACACGTTGTCGTGCTCTGTTTCAACCACAATCATTTGCAAGAATCCGTCCAGCATCTTCTGAAGGAAATGCTTTGTTGGCTTGGTATGATTAAAAATCGTCTGACGAAGGTTGTTGTAACTCTCTTTGCCGTGCTCATAAAATGCCAAAGGGACGCAATACTGAGGAGCATTCCCACCTGCTCTATTAGCAACACGGACCAAGCAAAGAGTGATGTCACCACCTCTGTCGGACCCTTGGATCACAATGAGCTCATTCTTGTGCTTGCAGAATGCCGACGAATCTTCGAATCGTCCAGCAATGATAGCACTCTGCGCGAGCGATTCAACAACAACAGCAGGTTCCTTAACCCAAGCATGCAAACAGCGCTGATTCCGCTTCTCGCCACCAATCTCCAGGGCAACAAGCTCAAAGCCAAGCTTTAGATTGAAAGAGTCCATTGCGTATGCTGCAATCCTCTTCCGAAGCATTTTCGGGAAGAGCTGCTCTCCAAAGTTGGGTAGTGTGGTCTTGAAGAATCTTGAAAGACGTTCCAATCCGCGAGCTGTGACGGGTAGATATTGCATCAACGCTGCGCACTGTTGGATACTCAGATTGCAGGCGTCATCATTCGCATACACTTGGAAGGAATGATTGGTTCCGATGATCTTCAGAATAGCAAGCACTTCACCTTGAGACACATCCAAATTGGCAAGCAACGTCTCCACCAATTGGGCCTTGCGCTTAGTCCTTCGTCCGCGTTCATCTCCCTTGCTAGAATGTCGGATTTCTTTGATTCGAAGAACCTTCATAGCAGAACCTTGGCGGAACTGCCGAATTGTCAAGACTTCATTCTCATCTGTTGTCGACGTCCGGCTTATCGGGACTGCTTTGTTGCGAAAGAGGACGTAGAGAGCTCGGCAAATCTCTTCTTCTCCATCTCGACTGATACAGTTGTTTTTTATTTCAGCATGCAACCTCGACTTCATTTCGGTTTGGGTGGCAACATCTACTTGCGTGGCAAATCCATACTCCACAGATGAATCCTCATTTTCTTCAATGAGAGGCGTTGCTCCAAAGTCAAGACGAGTGCGAGCAAAGAACCTCGAAACTCTGGGAGTTTTGGGAGTTTTGGGTGATTCCAATCCCATGTTTTCCATTCCGGACAAAAGAGTTGGAGTTGTTCTCATGTCGCGGCGTTTGGCTTCACGGGCTGCGACTTCCTCTGGAGAAAGAAAGCTCTCGTCAGTTCTTCCGTCACCTTTTGCTTGTGGCGTCGAGATGCCACTTTTGGATCTCTTCTTCCTTTCTCCGGCATCCTTCTCTAGGAGAAGATCAAGGAAATTGTTGTCAATTGACTCAGTGCAAGCTTTGCGGATGCTCGGTTTTGAAAACCCCCAAGCATTGCTAAGCAATGCAATAGGCGTGGCATCAGGATTCTTCTCTTTGGTGGTGCTCGCATCAACATCTGGCCCAGTTCCAGACAAACCAATGAATATGAACATCAAGATTCTCTGTTCCTGAGGTCGAATTGACAAGCGAGAAGAAGTCTCGGAATCGACAAGCCCTGTGCGGAGCCATCCTTTTTTCATGGTACGATTGCCGTCAAGAAGAAATGTATAGAGGGGGGTGTTTCTTGCCTTGCGAGAGTTGATGCTGTCTCGTAGTGATGACACAAATCTCTCCTTGATGATCTTTGAATGGCCTTCATCATGGGGTGTGATCAATGCTGGTGGTGATGCAGCATCATCATTGGTGCTGACTTGCAAGAAACGTTGGGGGTTCATCTCGGTGGGAACTTGTCTCTGCCAGAGGCATTTCCCAACCCATCGCCAGAGCCACTGCCAAACTCCTGCACGATTGTAGAACACATGGCAATGCAATACCCATGATTTGAACGGACAAGAAAATTTGTAGGAAATTTGGAGTGAAGCATTCAATAATTCAACCAAAAATTCGGCTATTGCTTTGTTTCTTTCTCATCCTTTGTCAATGAGGCATAGCAGAGCAAGTGGAGATAGTCTATGATTATGCTTGGATCATATTGGCGTAATTCAAACAGTTGGCAGCGCACACTGCCGTCGATGTTGGTGCCGATCCATCGTCGGAGGCTCTTCATCTTATTGTTGCTTGTGTCGGTTTTGTGTGGCTTTGTGCAGGTAGTTGCCTTGGCTCTTGGATTCGGGGCATCGGATAACCCATTTTGGCTAGTCGAACTAATCAAATGATTCGATCGACTTGATTTGGGGTATATTTTAACACGCTTTTGAAGCTGTTTTCGCGATTCCATTTCGTTTTGGAAGAGAGGATCGATCGGCCATCGCACACACACACAACACAATCGCGATGAGAGATGTTCGGTATTACAGCTCTGCAACTACATTTACCGTCAACAGTGGAGCTATATTGGAGACGGATGGCATCAACTACTCTACTGCACTACGCTAAAAGCTAGTGTAAAGATCTTTCGAGTGTTTTGAGTTTGAGAGAATGAAAGTTATGAGAGAGATTAGAAAGCTATGAAAAACTAATCAACGAGAGAGATCATCATCAAGGGATCGTAGATCTGGCTTCCCGCGGGAGAGTCATAAAGTGTGATAGAGTAGGTTGTGTAGTAATCCTACGTCCTCCACGATCCTAAAACGGAACGCGTGGAAGGTCTGTCTAGCCTGGATCTAGTAGCGTGGAAGTATCCACGCTGGCTAAAATTCTAGAGCGATGTTTCATCATCAACTAGTATGACTAGCGCGGTCATTGAGAACCCTGTCTCAGATGACTATTCACGAGAGACTCAGTCATGAGTCGAACTCAAACCCTATCTAGGATCGAGTCGCGAATAAGGCTAAAGCCGTGTATTGCATTCGCCCCTGACAAGGGTCACAGAAGGCGCGACAGCAGTCGGACAAGGAGAACATATGATTTAAAGTGCGGGCACTCTCATGAGATTTGGATGTAGACATGTGCGTCGCACGATGGCAATCCTACAGGGGATCAGGCCTTGTATGGGTGTATATACCTTATGTTCCAAGTCTGGTAGACTGTGCCGCCGTTGGCGTAGCATGTTGAGCCGTACAGTGCCATTGTCATTGACTCGATCTATAGTGTAAGGACCTTTGTACTTGGCTGACCGTACTTGCGGTGCTGATACTGTTGAATCACACAGTATCGTTGACATTGTACTGATGAGGGACACGCGTTGCGTTTTCCCTATCGTTGTTTTTGTTGGATTAGTCGTTGGCGACGTCCTTAATGTACTTCCAGTGGCTTCGAACCGGACGTTTGAATCGCGTCACGATTGAACACGAGCTGTGCGGGCGTTGCGCGCAAGTGGTTGAATCGTGGCATCATTGCAAAGCGAACCGCCGTGAGGACTCCATCCCGGATCCATTCACGAGGTCGTCTTGGCACTTGATTTTTGAACAGCGATCAAGTTACGTATGGTTTGATGAGCAGCTCGACCATAGAGTTGGCTTGAGGTACGCTGTGTAATGAATTGCGACGAAGTCCATATTCATCCCGGAGTGTCTTTTCGACCTCTGCGCCGAACTCGCGTCCTCTATCCATGATAACCTCAGCAGGCCATGGATACGAGTAAGCCACGTTTTTCTAGACGATGGCTACTTCGTCTGCTGCCTTGGAGCAATCTCTGCAATCTCGAACCATCGGTTACGGGATCAATCATGTCAGCAATGAAGTGTGCAGGAATTCTTTTTCTTGGGATCCCCGACGTTGTAAGGGCCTATCAGGTCAATACAAGTCTTCCCAAGGGATCTCCTCGCAAAGTCTTTGGAGGCATCAATCCAGCTTACGCGTCTTTGGGTTTTTCATCTGGCATCTTTGCAACGCTGACATACGGCCTGCACAGTCCTGCGTAGACCCTTCCAGGTGTATTTTGGCTGATGGTTAGTTCGTGCGAGTCTCGCCAGGACGCATTCAGCACACCATGGTACCATTCAACTAGCCTTCTTCTGCATAGTTTTAGGTACGACAATTTCTCGTCCTTAACTACTAAGTCGGTAGACTTATCCCCTCTGGGGAAAGATTGCTTCTTGTAGTCGTTTGGCTTGTCCCTGAGGAGCTTCTTGATATCGTTGTCTCTTTCTGACGAGTTCGATCTCGGGAACGAAGAGGGAACACGCTAGGGAAGTCCTCTTCGTCTGCAGCCATGAGTCAGCGATCTCCGCTGGCACTCCATCTGTTTGAAGAACCGTCGTTGTTGGAAAATAAGTCTCGACAACGCATCGCGACGATGTTCTGTTCGCCCTTGATGTACCGGTGTTCAGGGCCGTATTCTTCAGAATAAGGCGCATCGCATTACGCGATCGGATTGAAGTTCTTACATGTAAAAATCTTGTGGTCCGTATGTACACAACGATCTTCTGTCCTAAAGAATGTACGAATCTTTTAGAGTTTCTACGATACTGAGAAATTCCTTCTCGGTAACTGTGTTAACGTGTCTGAGCAGGGTGTAGCTTCCTGCTCGTAGAACGCGATGGTTTTTCCTTCTGGGAAATTACCGCACCTATGTTGAGTATCACTCGCATCCGTGTGGATAACGAATGATCGTTGAGTCAGGGTAGAGCGAGCAAGTTTCTTTCTGATGATCTTCTTCATCTGGCTAAAGGCCTTGTCGTGTTCGGCCTCCATTTCCACTTCGTTTTTTTGAAGTCAAGAAGCGAGTTGGGCCAGTACATGTGATCGTCTAATCCACATGTCTCGATAGTAGTTCACTAGTCCAATGAATCTACGGAGTTCCTTCTGTTTGGTAGGAGGAGCGATATTCTTGATCGCGTCTATTTTCTTTGTTATAGTTGGATCCCTTCTCGAGTGATCCAGTAACCTAGTACTCAAGTTCTCCTCTTTCGAAGAAGGACTTGGTAGCATTGATCTTGAGTCCGGCTTCTCGAAGCTCTTCGGAGAACTTCATCCAACTTTTCAAGTGATCTGCTAGATCGCCGTTAGTAGGATGAGTAGATCATCATGTATGCACGGACGTATTCTAGTCGTGCATTAGTGTTCCCATCTTCTCTTGGAAGATGTCGGACTATTACATAGGCCCATTGGCAACCTCTGGTACTCGTACTTTCCCCACGGGAGTACGATGTACAGAGTTTGCTTTCGAGTGAGGTGACAGCTCGATGTGATAGTATCCCATGTTCACGGTCTAGACTAGTAGGTACTTTGAATCCGTCTAGTTTCAGAGCATGTCCTGTATTTTTGGGATAGGATAAGGCTTCCGCTATCCTTTTGTTCAGTTCCCGAAATCAGAGATGAATCGTACAGATCCGTCTTTCTTGGGAATGATGAAAGTTGGTGCGCCACTCGGAACGGTTTACTTCTTGAGTACTCTGCTTCGCAGAGACGTTCAACCTCCATCTAAGAGTGTTGGTATGGACCCGTGGAATAGGGTAAGCCTTGCATATAGGGTTTAGCATCAGGAGAAGTTCTACTTCGTAGTCGTCCATCTGTCCACTTTCCCAAAGTACCATCAAATAGGTCAGAGTACTTCGTCAGTAAGGAATGAAGCTGTTCCTTTCCTTCCGTTTTAACTGATCTTGACTTTGGCAAACCTGCCTTAAGTCAGTTGTTCGTATTTCGCATCAAAATCTTCTTGAGACGATCTGCACTGTCATCAACACAGTAGGATCAGGAATGAAAAGTTTTCTTCTTCATTGGTGTCGCTATCTTTCATAGGAATAGATGCGCCGTCCCATTCCACTGACATGGTAGTGAAATCGAACTTGAAACCTAAGTCAGAGAGAATATCTCGACCTATGATCATGTACATACGCCCCAAGCTCTTGGTGACGTGTAATCCCACTCGATAATTCTTATCTTCGTGGAATTCAGGAATCATGAAATGCACCTTTCACTTCGTGCTGGTGTTTATTCTCCTGCAGGGGTAGTCCACATCGTTTGGACGCCCCCAAGATCCTCATGCGTAATTTCTTAGCATGAGTTGAGCAATCAAGGTTCCGGATGCTCCTGTATCAGTAAGCAACGGATGTAACGTGGTTTGGTTTCCCTTTTCTCGCTTGTTAAAATCTAACATAAACGATGGGTTGATGCTTGTCTTGCGACGTTTAGCGTGAGGTGGCCACGGACGAGGTTAACGATGCTAAAATAGATCATCAGAGTCTAGTTACAGCTTCTTAGGCAATCATCTAATTTGCGGTAGAGTTCATCAGTTGCAAACAATTCTTTTACTAGTTAGTGAGATATCTTCATCACTTTGGTATGAGAAATCGGAACAGGGTTCCGTTGAGTCATCATCCTGGCCTAATCCTCAGATAGAGATTTCTCCATCCAAGTGATTGAAATTGATAGAGGAGTTGTCCTCATTGTCAGAGTCTTCTGATTTGCGCTTGGCAACATGGTTGCGAAGTTTGCAAGTGGTGGCACGAGTATCGTCGATCTCGTGTTCTTCGTCATTGTCGACGAGAGGAAGAATGGGTTTTGTCACGCAACTGTTTCTCAAAGTTGCGGAACGCATGCTTTCCTTGAGCCATCTTCATGGTGAAGGAATAGGTTGAGGGTAGCTGAAAGCTATTGTGTTTGTTAACAAAATGCACTACGCTAAAAGCTAGTGTAAAGATCTTTCGAGTGTTTTGAGTTTGAGAGAATGAAAGTTATGAGAGAGATTAGAAAGCTATGAAAACTAATCAACGAGAGAGATCATCATCAAGGGATCGTAGATCTGGCTTCCCGCGGGAGACTATAAAGTGTGATAGAGTAGGTTGTGGTAGTAATCCTACGTCTCTCCACGATCCTAAAACGGAACGCGTGGAAGGTCTGTCTAGCCTGGATCTAGTAGCGTGGAAGTATTCCACGCTGGCTAAATATCTAGAGCGATGTTTCATCATCAACCTAGTATGACTAGCGCGGTCATTGAGAACCCTGTCTCAGATGACTATTCACGAGAGACTCAGTCATGAGTCGAACTCAAACCCTATCTAGGATCGAGTCGCGAATAAGGCTAAGAGCCGTGTATTGCACTACTACTGGCTATCGAATGCCCTAAGCTCAAATACAAACAGTGCGATAATACTAGAGACCAATTAGCTGTGCGTATAGATAGCTATGAAAAAAGAGTTGCTCCAGATGCTTGTTGAGTAATGAAATCAATAGCGTTGTTGCCGTTCCAATTCAGCTTCGAATTTACTGCTCGCAATGTGGGCTTCGACGGTGTGTTTGGCTGCTTCTACAGCAAGCTGAAGAAGCTTTCCCTTATCGGAAGACTTGGACTTGGGAACGATCAAATCAATTTGTTTGACGCTATCAGGAGTTTGTGCTTCTTTGTCTCGATCGAAGGAGAGCTTGATCCAGCGTCCGCTTGTTTCTTTACCTTTCACCTTGTTGGCATCAGTCGACCACGAGAAGCGAGTTGTCAAACGGAGTGGGAATCTCTCAACCGTATCACCCATTTCTTCAACAACCACATCTCCATTTGCCTTCTTCACATCCTTGACTCTCCACACAGACAAAAAGAACCGGTAGCTAGCGCTGTCAGAATATCGGTCAAAAGTGGCGGACCCTCGATAGGTACGAAGCTTGCCGTCGTATGTTTCCAAGCAGATTGCCACGGTTCTCTTTTCTTCACTCATGTTGTCAATATCATCAATCGGATCAAGCCGAACAAGCGTCCGCCATTGATCAGCTGCAGCAGCGGCAGCAATATTCATCGTCAGTTTGTGCTTTCGAGGAAGAATAAAGGAAAGGTGGTGGCTGGCGAACTTCGCACCGAGGCAATTCGAGGCAGCCTTCCTCGAGACATTTCCTCAGAGCCGACCGTCACTCCTCGACCTCTCTTAAGAGCTGGGCCTGGCTCTTCGGAAGATTCTCTCGGAATGCTATGAATAGTCAACTCATGCGAGATGTTCCGGCTGCTGCAGATCGCTCTGAATCAGAACAAGCAAGCAATTGAGCCGAGCTCATTTTCCAGACAAACCAATATTCGAAGTGCACTTACTCGAGATGGCGGGCCGACTTAACAATGAAGAAGTGAAAATTGCCTTCTTCTCAAAAGACAACTCTGATGCTCGTCCAGTATCTAACGAGACACTCTCCATCATTGTCAATGGCATTCGTTCCGGTATCAAGCGTTGTATCGATCGAACAAAGGACGTCGATATGTATTGCTGTCTCCAGGGCAACTGCTTCATTCCCAATTCACGTGTGATCACTCTGCAAAGTACTCTGGGAGCCACCATGGCTGCATCTTCCGATGGGAATCTTCGATTCAAGACGCATCAAGGCGGTTACGAGCTTCATGTCATTTTCAGTGGTGGAGCAAACTCCTTCAAGATGGCCTTCGACGAACCTCCTCCTCAAGCGGAAGCGGAACATCCTCCTCGAGAGGAACAACCTCCTCCTCCTGTGGCTGCTGCGGCCAAACCCGACAAGCGCCACACTGATTCCAAGCGTCGTAAGAACCTGCGCCCTGTACCAGAGGATTCGGATCAGGATGACGAACAACCAACAACAACCCATCATCGACGTCGCAATGTGAAAACACGCTGCAATTATTCGTCTGATTCATCCTCTGAAGCAGAGGAAATTCTGCACTTCTCTCAGCTCACTGGCCGCGGCCGTAAGACCCATTAGGGTGGCCTCTGTTTCTCAACTGTGCCGTCGCTGGGCCTTGCATCGTAGCGGCATGGCATCATGGTGCTTTATCCGTCGTGGTGGTTGCTTTTCTTTGGAGTGAGATTTCAAATTATCCCTAGCCTTATGAATATAAAAAAGCTTTGCTATGAATATCTTTATGATCGGAGTCGGCAGGTGGAGGTGCGCCGGCGACTAATGGCACCCATGAACCGATGTGTATCTTGCCGCCAAGGTATTCATGACCCAATGAGTCGAGTTGAGTCGAGTCACGCACCACCACCGCCATTCATTTTTCGAGATGGAAGAACTGCCGAGCAAAGTTGCTTTTCTCTTTTTCTATCATATTTCTCTTGTTTGGTAGAAGATAGCAAAAAAAGCAAGATGACGGCAACAACAAGTGAGAGTGACGGCCCAACAACGATTGGCTTGAACTTGATAGTGGATGCTACATGTAGTAGTACTGGTACTAGTAGTGGTGGTGGTAGTACGAAGAAGAAGAGGAAGCGTGTGAACAAGTACGAACGAAGACGTCGCAAAGCCGCCAACGCCAAGAGACCAAAATTAGAAGATGAAGATGATGATCAACAAGAAGAAGATGAGCAACAAGAAGAGTTAGTAGCACCAGCACCAGCACCAGCACCAGCACCATCAGAACAAGATGTAGTACAACAACAACATCAACATGAATTATCCGAAAAGGAAAAAGAACACGCGGCTTATATGGCGGAGTATCATGCCCGACCGTTGGAATTGGATCGTCGCAGTGGCGCCCAAAGAGTCAAGAAATTGGACAAGAAGAGCAAAAAGAAGTTCCAAAGTGAATCCAACAAGTCGTCTACGGGCAGTCACGTATTTTCCCAAACCACCAGTTGGACTAGTCTAGTAGAAGCAGACGGGTGTTTATTGTCATTCAATAATTATTCCAAAAAATTGGTCACTCTGCTCACAAAGCAATATTCCAAACCTACCAAGATTCAAGTGCAAGTTCTTCAACAATCTCAACAGCATGACAATAAGAACAAGAATCTCTGGATCCAATCGGAAACTGGTTCTGGAAAGACACTGGCGTATTTGTTGCCCATTCTTCAGTCTCTCCTCCTGCAACTACAAACTAGTAGTAGTCAAAACAAAAAAAACAATAATCGACAATCCCTTGGCACTCAATGCATCATTGTCTGTCCGACGCAAGAATTGGTTCAACAAACGTTTCGAGTCTGCGATGCCTTGACGACTCAATTGTGTGCCGGTCAAATCGTTGTCGGATCATTGCAAGCACAAACATCCCGCTCTAAAGAAAAGGCACGCATTCGCAAAGGATTGGCCATTCTCGTGGCAACTCCAGGTCGATTATTGGATCATCTCCAAACGACATGTGCACTGCAATCGGCCATTTCCAACAATAACCTCAAGTGGCTGGTACTGGATGAAGTCGATCGACTCTTTGACATGGGATTGGCACCCCAATTAACCAAAGTCATTGATCAACTCAAAATCCATTCGTCGCGTGCCAACTGGAAGAGCATTCTCGTATCGGCCACCGTACCACAAGAAGTACAAGAGGTCGTACAAAAGGCACTCTCCTCCACTACAACAACAACCGCAGAATGGGCATGGATTCAATCGTCCAACAGCAGCAGTGACAACAACAATAGCATGAGTCAACAACAACAACAGCAACAACAACAACAGCAACAACGCAGTTTACCCCAACAATTGATTCAATATCACATTCTTGTCAGTGCCAAACTACGACTTGCCACGTTGGTCGCATTTTTGACCGATCGAGTCATGGCAGGAGAACGAACAATTGTCTTTTTCAGTACGTGTGCCAGTGTCGACTATTACCATCAATTATTCACCACTGTCGATTCCATTCTACCAAACAACAACACGTCGTCAGGAGGTCTGTTTGGTAACGTCGCGCGTATCGACAAGTTGCATGGCAATGTCCCACAAAAACAACGTCATGCCGTCTTGTCAACGTTTCAACAACAACAACAACACTCGACGCATAACAATGTAGCCCGCATTTTATTGGCGACCGATGTGGCCGCACGAGGACTCAATTTGCATGCCGATTGGACCGTTCAATACGATCCACCCTGTGAAATTGCCGATTACATTCATCGGGCAGGACGAGTGGCACGAGCGGGGAAAATGGGACAGTCTCTCCTATTTTTATTGCCGTCGGAAAAGTCCTTGTTGCCCATTTTGCAACTCAAGCAGCAACAGAATGCGACGACAAAGAAAGATCTCATGCCGGCACTCTCACTCACGTCCACCTTGCAACAAGCGGCCAAACTATGTCCTCATCTCGCCAACAAGGGAATGCAACGCAATGGAATGAGAGCCAAGGCAATGGCCACTACCACAACAACAACAACAACGACTACGACAGCACAAGACGAAGAATCTACTTCCAACAGCAATAATGACAATGGTCGTCATGGATCTAGACTCGGAGAAGCGTTTTGCTCCGAGCTGCAGTATCGACTTGAAGAATGTGTCTTGGAACAATCGCGACTGGCACAAGCGGCCATTAAGGATGCCAACAACAAGAACAAGAACAAGAAAAAGACTTTTCAAAAGATTGCTGTGGCCGACATGACACTGCTCGATTGTGCCCGCGCCGCCTTTTTGTCTCATATGCGAGCGTATCCCACCAAAGAAAAGTTGGTACGACACATTTTCTCGGCGCGGGCACTGCATTTGGGACACATTGCCAAATCGTTTGCATTGCGAGAACCACCCAAAACGTTGGTTGCAAACAGTCGTCGCGTCGAATCGAAATCGAGGAAACAACAACAACAACCGGATGACGAGGCACGCACCAATGGCACGGCTCGAAAACGAGCCCTGCTCATGGCCAATGCCGCCAAACTGCAAATGGGAGGAATGGATGACTTTTAAAAATAAATGAATGAATGAATTCGTAACTCATTCCTAGTAGAATCCTCGACAACTAACTAACTGCTTGGCTCGTGAATCGAATCGATCGATCGATGGATGGTGACGAAATCGAGCTGTCGTCCCAGCTTGGGTTTCAATCAACAGCCAGCAACGGTTCCTCTTGTGTGAGTGAACAATGACAACATACATCAGCTGCAGTCGCCGACATTTCATGTACATGTCGAGTCGAGTCGAGTCGTGACAACGACACGCGAATCGATTGAATCTTTTGAACGGAGCAAGTCTCATGGGCATCCTCCATCTTGCTTGTCAACTTCCAGCTCGTGGTCGCTCTTGTCGGATTGGTACAGGTATTCATCGTCGTGGTCAATTTTCAGCTGACCAAAAAGAATCGAATCGAATCAGAAGTCTATTACGAACAGATTCGATTCTATTCGGACACATGAAGTGCCAGTACTCGTCCCATTCGGCACGTCAAGATGGAGTAACCTCATTTTGTTTGTGGAACAGGCAGGGTGGAACACTTAACTTGCCAGCTTGCTTGCTTGTCCAGCTACGGTATGTATTTGCACTAGCTAGAATCGAATCTCGCATTACATGTACGATGTACATTCACTCTCAGTTCAGTTCACCACTACTAGCTAGCTAGTTTTGCATCCTTTAAAAACTGTAAACTGTCCTACAACCGTACCGCAATTCTCTGCCCTGTGCACCCCTCCATGCAGCTTTGTCTCGTCCGCACGAGGGTTGTCTTCAAAAAAAAAATGGAATTCCCCTGTTGCTCTCGCAGCTAGACAGGGTTTAAACGGCGCAACAGCCAGCACGTGACCACCAAGCGAACCACCAAGCCCATTGGAAAAGCACAACCTCTCTGCATGGACCACTCATAGTAAAGCTCCCTTCTCTTTCCTGGTTTTCCTCCCTGCACCCCCCTTCCCTGCCCCCCTTTTTTGCCCTGCTGGCGTCCTCATTGCTCTCCCCGTACGCCCACCACAACAGCCGCCCACCACAACAGGCACGGCTTTGCCTCTAGCTTCGCCCCCCTCGCTCCTTAACGTATCTATTTCGTATTTGTTTTCATAGTAAAGCACTCACTTTGACCTCCATGCAGATCTAGCTAGATAGTAGCCAATCCACACCATTCAATCGTCGTCCTTTGCCAAGAATAAGCAAGGAAACGGTGTGATAGAACCATGGCAGACTGCCAGGAACCAGATCCCAAGAAGCAGAAGCTGGCTCCTCCTACAACTTTTCTTGTGCTCTTGACCCAACATGAAATATGGATCAACAACATCTTTTCTTTTCTTGGTGTGGGACACTATATCTTTGTGGCCAGTGTCAACAAAGCAATGCAAGAACTGTACAAGAAATACTGTGATTGTGTCAATTCTAAGTATCATCGCAGGAGGACACTACGAGTCTACTATCCGTACTACAGCTCCCACTATGTCAATGCCTTTTGCAATGCTTCTTGTTTTGAGTTCTGGTACAGAGATCAAGCCTGCACAATGAGCACTGAAGACAAAAGGATTTGTGTGATAGCTGCACAATTTGGGGGTCCTCCAGCCTTCAATGGGCCAGAGAGAAAGGATTTGAATGGGATGAGGACACCTTTGATGTTGCAGTAGAGAAAGGAGATGACGAAATGATGGATTATCTAGTTGATCATGAATGTCCCTGGAGTGAAATCACCTGTGAAGAAGCTGCAAAGAAGGGGGATCTGGATACCCTGAAGTGGCTTCATGAGAATGGCTGCCCCTGGGACAAAAGGACAATTTTGGTTGCTGCCCGTTATCAGCATATGAATGTGTTGAAATATGCTCATAAGAATGGCTGTGAATGGCATGAAGAGACAGTGAGACTTGCAGCTGAGAATGGGCATATGGAATTGCTGAGATATGCTCATGAAAAAGGGTGCCCCTTGGGGATGACGGGCTGCTCAGTTGCTGCGGCTTGTGGGCATTTGGATGTCATCATATGGCTTCTTCTTCATGGCTGTCCATGGGAGTGTCTATTTGAAGGCAAGGCCTGCACTGCTGCTGCAAGAAATGGGCACTTGGAAGTGCTCAAATGGTTGGAAGAGAATGGGTGTCCACCAATGACCTGGGATAACAACACTTGCAGAGATGCTGCTTCTGGTGGTCATTTGGATGTACTGAAGTATGCTACTGAGTGTGGGATTCTGTGGCATACTGAAGGAGACATTTGTCTGGAGGCTGCCACTAATGGGCATCTGGGGACTTTTAAGTTTGCTAGCGAACAAAAAGGCTTCACATGGAGCAAAAAAAATTGCTCAGAGGCTGCAGCCAAGGGCCATTTGGAAGTTGTAAAATTGGCCCATGAGAATGGCTGTCCATGGGATCATTTCATTTGTTCCAGTGCAGCCTTATATGGACATCTCAATGTGCTGAAGTATGCCCATGAAAAGGGTTGCCAATGGGACAGTTCCACTTGCCAATTTGCAGCTGGATTTGGATATTTGGACATTCTGAAGTATGCTCACGAGAATGGCTGTCCATGGGACAAATGGACTTGCCATGATGCTGCTAGATCTGGGCACTTGGAAGCTCTCAAATATGCTCATGAGAATGGTTGCCCATTGCCCCTCAAGGCAGACACTTGCAGTTCGGCAGCTATGCAGGGCTGTTTAAACATTGTCCAGTATTGATGTGAGCATGGATGTCCATGGGATGAGCATACATGCTCCAATGCTGCAAAATATGGCCACATGGCTCTTTTGAAATATGCACATGAGAATGGCTGTCCCTGGGATGAATGCACATGCAGCTATGCTGCTGAGGGTGGCTATTTAAACATTGTCAAGTATGCCCATGAGAATGGATGTCCCTGGAATGAAGACACATGCTGCATGGCTGCTGTGGGTAGCAATTTGAAAATTCTCAAGTATGCGCGTGCAAATGGCTGTCCATGGGATAGAAGAACACTCAGACTTGGTTGTCATGATGATGAATTGTTGAAATGGGCCAAGGAAAATGGCTGCCCTTCCTAGTGGGGGTAGCCATTGGCACAACCGGCATGCTTGTTGGAGGTTGGGATTCGAAACCAGAAGGGGGAAAGCAACCGAATGAAAGAACCGAATGAAAGCACCGATCAAAGCAGTGCCTATTTGTACGACCCATCAATGAAAGCATCGTTTGTGCATCTCTCCCTGCACCCCCTCCTCACCATAGCTCCTCTAAGCAATAGTAACCACCCACACACATCAATGAAAGCACCAATCCAAGCAGTGCCTACTCGTACGACTCATCAAGCCTTCCTGGATGCGAGAACCAATGCTGTCTATTCTTTCGGTCCCGCGGCCAAAGCTGACAACCTGTCCGTCCACGAATTCCTCGCCGCAGCTCATGGCTACCGGTATGGCATTGTGACGAATGGCACGGAGCGTCAAGAGTTGGAGCTTGCGATTCAAAAGAAGAAAAGGTGGCATTCTCCACCCGTTTTGCTCGTGCCAAGCCTGACACAACTTCGAAGGCAGCCAAAGAGGACGAAGATCTACCTACGAAGGATCATATGATTTTAGCAAAACCATTTGGCCCCAGAAATGGTCCTCAATTTCTTGCTCCTGATCCGTATCCCACAGAACCCAGTCCTGAATTTCAACTGTCCTTTGCTTAATTAAGCCTGGCTCTAAACCCCCCTCATCTCCAAATATGTATTCTTCTCAGCATGACTTGTGGCTCCTCTGGATTCGATTCAATTCAATTCAATTCCACAATACCAGAGGAAGGAGGGAACGAAGGAGGAGAAGTTTTGAGCATATGCCATAGAGCAAGTCAGGTCGATTCGGTTCCATCTTCGTCAAGCATGCTGTGAAGACAAAACCCAAGGGTCGGTGTGTGCATTGAAGAAAACAACACTTGGAATAAACTGTTGTCTCTTTGCCACTGACGGTCCGTGCCAAAGCAAGTGCCAAGCATTCCTTCGTCAACAGTAATCTACGTGTACATTGCACGTCCACCAAAGTATACCGATACCATACCGGTGGTACGTACGGTAGTCACACACCAAATACAAGAACTCATCATCACGCCAAAGAGCGTTTTCAACCAAGCATTCGGGCCTTTTTCTCCGGCTCCCGTAGTAGTCTAACTTGCACTTCCCTAATCTGAACTCTGAGACTCCATGTGCCGTGAGTACTGTAGTTCCGAAAGCTTTTCTCCAAAGTTGGAGCACGGATGGTTTGTGGAGCTTCTGCATGGAAGAGGCGTGGTCTTGCTTGAGCCATTCAGTCTCGCCCGGCCAGTCTCGCTTTAAGTGACAGCGAGACTCAACCAGCGGAGACGTGTTCCTGTATAGAGTCCGACACCCGCAAGCAAGGGATCACGAAGTGATTGAAGTTCAATGGCCATGTTGCACGGTACAGTTTGCATGGGGAGAGATTGCCGAGGACGACTGTGAATTTCGTGGTGACGGTGTTCCTGATTGCTGGAACTGTATGATACAGCCGGTGAATTCATGGCTGGAGAAGCTACGTGGGGAACATTCAAAGATTTGACTCGATTCTTGAAGGCTGAGCGAGCGTTTTGATTCTGAGACTCTTCGAGCTTCCATTGAAAAGATGTTGGTTCATGATACCGGTATGTATGTATGTGCTTTTGAATGGAGCTGAGACCATGAAAGTGACTTGAGTGGCCAAGACTTTCGATCAGTGGATTGAGGACTGTTTGTCTCGTCAGTGGAGTGAACATGACGTTCAATCAGTGCCGGACATAATGTTGGCGTGTTGACAGCGTTGCAAGCGTTGACTGATACTAGTAGCATAGAATTGACTCATTGTTGGCTTGTTTGTTATTGTTGGCTCGCGTATAGTATGGCGTAGTCAACTCTTGGTTTACAGCGTTGGTTGGAGGCATGGAACTGAATGGGAGAACGAAATCATGGTGAAGGCCTTACACTGTAGTGTTACGACCTGCTGCCTGAGGGTGCCCCACCTTTTAAAGATGATCAGACCATTGCATTCTGTTCCATACCAAAAACCTTCATTGCTCACCAATTGAGTGGAGATGACAACCAAGTGACGACTTTACGTACTATTAGCTAGCTAGTAGATCCTACAGTCGTATCTCATCATGGAGTGTACTAGTACTAGACTACCAGTACATGTACTACTTTTGGCAGTTCCGTGGCGTTTGGTTCGATGTGGCAATTTGGTCTGTCGCCCCGCTTGAACCCTCGATTCATTCGATTGAGATTCATCGGTTCCGCACGTGAAAGCAGGTGTCGCAGAAAAGCCCATAGAGCTGTGAGGAGATACTAAAATCAACCAGCATACCAATGAATGAAAACCACGCGACACAATGACAAGAAAATAGGCACATGCAAGTACATGCATCTCATGGCGATTGACAAGATAGGTCTGGGCGGTCCAAGCTGAAGATACAAGAAATGCCACCATGATCACTCCAACGACCCAAAAGGCAACGGAACACAGCGGATACCGTACCAATCCAAGAGCATGAAAAGCAGGCATTCTCCACCCCCAATGAGAAGCCCGAATCACGCAAAGCTGTTCGTGCCGAGCCTGGCACAGAAGACGAAGAGGACGAAGACGTCCAGCTTCAAAAGGTACCGTATACCTTCTCGGCGTGACTTTCGCACTCTTGTTCGTTTTCTTCGTCTTGTGGCTCCCCTTGATTTGATTGAATCAGGGAGTGAAGGAGGAGGACGAGCTTGGATCGTTAGCCAATAGAGCAAGTCAGGTCGATTTGGCTCCATCTTCGTCAAGCATGCTGGGAAGAGAGAACTCAAGGGTCAACGCAACACTTGGAAACTGCTGCCTCCTTGCCAGTCACAGTCCGTGCAGAGCAATTGCAAGCATTCGTTCGGCAGCAGTCTACGTGTGAATTGCACGTCCAGTAAACAGAGAATAGGTACCATAGTACGTAGTCAGAACTCATCATCTTTGCAAGTACACCGGTGTACGCAATGGTGGCCATCGTGTGGCCAACCACTCGACTCCTGACGGCTTGTGGGGGGCTGTTTCTCTGGAAGCAGCAACAACGAAGAGCAACCACGATGTGTGCCAACCAGGCTTACGGTCGACTGCCTTCAACCAGTTGACCATCTTCACGCTGCAGAGACTTTTCAACCAAGCATTCGGGTGTTTTTGTCGACACCTGGAGCCGTCTTCCGTAGACAACTTCTCTATTAGTACTCTGAACTCAGAACCCGTCAGTGACAGTCATGAGTAGTAGTTCAGCTTTTCTTCAGAGTGCTACCATAAATCTGAAAGTTCACGCAACCCTTTTGACACGATACTGTATGGTTGGACAGGGATGGTTTGTGGAGCTAGCGAAGAGGTGTGGTCATGCATCGAGCCATTCAGTCTTGCTTCTATCGAGAAGGTCTCATGGCCCGGAAGGGATCACGAAGTGATTCGATTCGGTTCGATTCCCAGCTGCTACTCTAGCTAGAGAGCTAGCTAGATAGAGACGATGTCAAATTTTGGGTATCCGTGACGGGTACCTGTCAGCCACTGCTATAGACCACATGAATGGTCGATGAAGTAACGTTTCCACAAGACACTCCCATGATCGGTACCCTGCCGCACCATTTCTACATCATTTCTACAGCACACACCGTTTTTGCCTTTTTCCATCGAAGACAGCAAGAAAGAAGATATGGTAACTGTTACAGGTCATAGCTTGGACCCAACCTATTCAAAACAACATAGCTTCCCCTCGTAGAAACATGTCGACACAAACCCCGCTCCGAGCCCGTAGGGAAGGATGTCTATCACCTGAAAACAAAATGGTCTTGATCTTTGAGAAACAAACAGCGAGTGAGGATTGCGAAATCAAGAAGACACAAGCCTTGAGGCAAGTTGACAGTTTGGCATGGTTTTGGAAGTCATCATGCCGCAACATGATTGTCTTGTTGTGCAGGTGTGCCTTCATCTCAATTGCAGCCTGGAAGTTGCTGCCAGAACCAGCAGACATCAGCCATGACAGAGCTGTGAATACTCGCTTCTTGGGAGAGCTAGGAAATGAGTTTGACCGGAGTATTGACTCTCACATTGACAATCTTGAGTGCATAGGATGGCGTGCCACAAAGGAATGTAGCCCTCTCGGACCACTCTTTGAGGGCAAGAACAGAGCCTCAGCCTTTCTCAGGGGCTTCATTCACAATGATCTGCCATGTGATCAACAGATACCAGTTTATTGGGAGGGGTCAGGATACTGTGAGATGAAAACAAGAGCAGGGCAAGTGGTTAAAGTCTTCCAAAAAGGATGCAGAGAGGGATCCCATCGACCTGAACAGCTGAAAGCATATTTCTCATGCCACATGGCAGCTTCCTTTTTGAAGTACAAGAACCGAATGATGAGCTATGAACCTGATGAACCCATCACAGTTTCTGATCATGCAGTTCCTTCCAGGGGTATTGTCATGCAGGTGTATGGGAGAATCTTACCAAGTGTTTATTCCCTTGTCAAAGTCTTGAGAGAAGTTCATGGTTGCAAGCTTCCCATAGAGTTCTGGTCACTAAGTGGGGAAGTCACTGAGTCTGATCCTGTGGTCCAGCAGCTATTGGCAGAAACTAACACCGCTCTTCGAATCATCAGTGATGCATCCATCACATCATACATGTCCAAACCATACAGCATTGTATACAGTCACTTTGATCAGGTTCTGTGGTTGGACAGTGACAACTTTCCCTTCCATGACCCCTCATTTCTGTTTGAGACTGTGGAGTTTCAGCAAAATGGTGCCATATTCTGGAAGGACTTTTGGAGGCCTCAGATGAATGACTTTTTTCTCACCAAGTCTTCCTTGGCATGGGAGCTGTTTGATATCCCACCTGATTCACCAATTCGTGAAGAAATGGAGATGGAGGCTGGTCAGCTTGTAATTGACCGCAGAAGATCCAGGAAGGCCCTTAATGCTCTCTTGTTTTTGACCATTACATTCAAAGAGATCATAGGGCCAATGGACCTCCTTCTGGGGGACAAGGATCTGTTCAGGTTTGCTTTTCATACCACCAACACCCCATTCCATTACATGGAGAAGCCACCTGGTTTTGCTGGCATTTCTACTTGGTCTTTCTTCAGTAGCCATACTGTGTGTGGTCAAACCATGATGCAACCTGACCCAGTGGGAAATCCACTCTTCTTTCACAGGAACTTAGCAAAGCTTAAAGACCGCAAAAGTCTTGAGAGGGTTTGGGAGAAGGGCATGAGGTTTATTGGCAACTCTGATGCCCAGTACCATGTAGATGGGTGGCCAAGCTTTTCAAGATCAGCGTGTTATGCACCAACAGATCCTGCTTACTTTGAGGAATTGGATTTTGGAATAGGATCCAATGTGTCCCAGTTTGAGAGCAAAATCTTGTTTTATGCTGGTGAAGCTGTGTCAATGCTTGAGGAAGAAAACCCAAAATGAATGGCTCGCTTCTGCTGAGGTGTGCTTCTGATAACGTTGGAGTTGTGATTGGCGCAAGGAAAACTGTATGCTTGCTCCAGTGAGCAGATCTCGCCCTATCAATGTTGGAGAAAAAAGTGGTTGTTGTCTGTATGCTTTTGAGGATGTATTATTAGCACAGCGGTAGAGGATAAGCTAGCCCCCGCTCTATCTGACCAGTGCACTGCTCGGAATGATGATTTGTTTTGTGACGAGTGGACTCTGTCCAGTACCGGTAGGCGAACTCTTGGAACTAGCCAGTAGCACTGCAGCTGGCTAACTAGCTACCTGTACCGTAGTAGCTAGGCACGGAGCGACGATCAAATCACCAAACTCTGAAAGTTGGAGGCAATCCTCAGGCTCTACCATCCATTTTGGGTCCTCTATCTTGGGTCCACTTTGTCGTTCTTGTTGTTTGGGTGGAGTGTCTTCTCGAACGCTCTCATTCCCGAATGTGGTTCACAAAAAACGTGGGTCTACCATTTCACCCCCATCCAAAATTAATGGGATGCAGAAAACTACAGTCTGCCCTCTCTCATATATATAAGGGGGGAATGTGGATCTCAGTAAATATAACAGTGACACTAAATATAGTACGTTCTGGAGACTAGCCACTAGTGAAAAACGAATGGATAGAGCCGTCACGTTTGCGTTTGCCAGCCCTAGCAGCCCTAGCCACATGCAATGCCCTGGCAAACCTGTCAAGATGCACAGTGGCCGCCTGTTTGATACCCAAAGCAGAGGCACTCTTGGAGAGCTTGTTGAGTGCTTCTTCAGCTTCGGCAAATGAGGCAAAGACATCGGCTGGTTCCGGATCAATCTCCACTGGTTCCGGTTCCTCGTCATCAAGCACAGCCAGTTCGGCTTCTGTTGTTTCAAGTTCGAGCTCTTCCATCTCTTCGTCGATTGTTGCGCTAATGACTTCGGGCTCGTCTTCAATTTCAATCCAGTTCTCCGCCATTTGTAGCACATCGTCTCCAGAGTACATGTCGTAATCAGCAGCGAACGATCCTTGCAGTGCAATGGCGTGCCTGGCCACATCGACCTTGGTTTCTTGAGCTTTGACTTGGAGAGCACTCATGAGGTTACACAAGTCATCGGAATCCTCCTTACTCATCACCTTGTCTTTCATTGGGATTGAATTGGATCCAAGGTCAGCATCGATTGCTGTTTCCATGGCGATGGGAAGGATGTTGGCCTTTCTCCAGCAGCGTCTGATACCATCTTCTTTGGCATAGCGACCATCTTTATTCCAAATGCCATTCAAGATTTCCATGGCATCAAGCAGGTGCGCCTTCCCTCCAACGGACAAGCCACGGCATCCTTTCCTTGTTTCGAGCCGCCGCTTCGCACAAGCCTCGTACCCCCCTTCAACATCAAAGAGTTCAAGCAAAGTTGTGAGCATGATAAATTTGTAGCCTACTTTAAGGGCTGCAATCATTCCCATGTCGGCAGGTTGATGTGTATTGGTTAAGTTGGGTGGAAGGAACAAAACATGGAGCCAGGAAGGCAGGACATCCCAGTTCTCCCACTTGTGAGCACTGCAGTTGTCCAACAGGAGGATACAATGGGCACGACCCCAACGTTTCACATGGTGAGGAATGAACACATTCTCAAGCCACCACATTGTCACTTCCTTTGTAAACCACGCATTGCTTTGGTTGGTATAGGCCATAGGAGGTTTTCCATTCTCCCGAAGCATGAAACACTTCGGTTTGGCAGCCTTACCAACCAGGCTAAGGGGGACCTTCTTTCCATCGGCAGATGTGGCAACCATGAGTGTAACTCTCGTCTTGTCTTTCATCTGCTTTGCCCCAGCAAAGTCTTTGGCTTTGTCCTTTTTAACGTAGATGCGGTTGGGGAGTTTCTGGTAGTACAAACCAGTTTGGTTTGCATTATAGATGCGACTGGCAGGGACATCGTATTTCTCAATAAGGGGGTAGAACTCCTTCTCTCTCCACTCCTTCATGATTGCCTCCTTCGTTGCATCATCCATGTCGCCGGCTTCTCCATGCAGCTTGACTCCAACTCTATCGTTGCGTTTGAGGAATTTCGAAATCTATCCATTGGAAGCATTGAAATCCTTTATGCCGAGCTGCTTGGCGTAACCATGTGCCTTCGCTTTCAACGTCGCGTACGAAAGGCCACATTTGTCCTTCTTGACTCGCTTCGCACGGAGATCAATGTAGGCAAGCAACTTCTTCTCGACCTCCGGATACTTTGGTGGGGCATTGCGCTTGGAGTGGTCGGTTGCAGTCAAAGTCTTGTTGTCGTATTGCTTCAAAAAGCGACCGAAACTCTGCTGTTCCGACTGCGTTCCAGAGAACTTCGGACCAGAGAACTTCGGACCAGAGGCGGATGACGACAAGAATGCCTTGGCTTGCATTGACTTGTACTCTGTACGAAAGGAATGGCATGCCCCGTACCAATCAGCTCTGCTCTTGTTAGTAGCGGCATTCTTTGAGCCCACTTTCGGTCCTCTCTTTGCACCTTTCTTCGTTCCGGTTGAATCGGCGCCGTTTGAATCGGCGCCGTTCATGTTGGTCTAGGTCGGATTGGATCCTTTGGTATGGTTTGTGTGAAATTGTTTGGCAGCTCACCTGAATTGTTTTTGTCTCGTCAAAACCATCCTTCGAAAAATGCACGTAAACAACCAGGGCTTGGGCTGGCACCGACGAGACAGCCTCGGAGAGGTGCGTGCAGAGATACCGCAGAGGTACCCAGGAATGACACCTCCATTGGATCGATATCGGCATTTGACATGCTGTCTCGGTCAAATTGAAACGGTTGGAATGGATTGTACGTGTTGCGCGAAGGACAGACCAAATAGCTAGATAAGCAGCAACACTGCACTCTCACTTATCCTTTAGCATGACATTACACTGATTGATAGGTCTCTTGACAGGTTATGATGCCCACACTACGCTACCGCTAGTGCCTTGTATCTCTACCGAAGTGCTTCTAGTCTCCTGCTATTGGCAAGCCGGGTACAACTTGACCAGTTCCAGCTATTCCCAACAACTTCCTCAACTACTACTTAACTTGACTACTACTTTCCGACTTGGTTCTCCGCCCATCTCTTTGCCGCAGACCCTGTCGTTTCATCCATACTCCTACTACGTTTCTTTCCTGTCTCTGTCTGTAATCCCTTCTGCCCATGGATTCTACAGGACAACCCCTTTTGTTGGACGACCAGCGCTCCTCTGAGTCCTCCACCCGACGATGTTTCGACATCCACCACTGCTTCATTGGGTCTCCTGCCGGCCAGTTCCGCTTCACTTCCGCTATGCTACCCGTTTCCAAAAATTGTTCTCCATACCTTCTCTGTGTACGGCAACGACCCACGTTCTTCACCCACCCTTCACCGTTACCAAGGATTGTCTCAAGAACGACGATGAACTCCTACCAGCTCTCTGTCGCGAAATTCTTCATGACCTCATCGGACTGAACCCAGACTCGAATCTCTTTCAACAAATCTACCACGATTGTCAGCCTCTCCTCTTCAGCGCCCGCCTTTCCGTCAAATCTCCCAACACTGAACTTGTGCCGCTGACCGCTGCTTCACTTGCCGCTGCTCTCAGTGGATGTCTCCAATTCCTTTGATCGGCACGGCTACGCCAAATCCCCCGTCCACATTTATATCCACACTGAGCACCTCCGACATCGATCTCCTGACCAGCCTGCCTATTTATTGAGTGATTTTTACAGCACCCAACAATCGCCTTTTGTCCCTTCCAATACCCCTCTATCCGACCGAAAAATTCAATATTTCAACCCCAACCCATCCCTTCCCTTTTGCCTGCATTTTCTCCCCCCAACCCGACCACCCTTGGACGCTGCCGCCCTACCACCCACAGCAACTCCCCGACAATCCACCCCGCATTCCGATCCCGCTGCTCAGGCACCCTTGGTTCCATCCCCTTCCATTTTGGTTCCTCCATTTTTTCCGGGGCAGACATTTCTCCCATTTCCAATCACGGGAGGGTTTCTCCTTCTTCCCTCTCTTCTACTTCCGACAATAATCGCCCTTGCTCTGTGGCTCCCTCGGTCAACTCCCTTGCTGATGACGACCCAACAATTACCCACCAACACCCGTGCCACCCCTGCCTCCCACTCCTATTCTTCCAATTCTTCCGTGGCCACTCCAATTTCCTCTGTTCCATCATCAACGTTTGCGGATCCATCCGATTCCCCGGTTGCACGTCCAATTTACAGCCTCTCCACTATGCTGACAGGTGATCGTCCCATCCTGTTCCAATCTCCCCCTCCTCTCCCTCCGTGGACTACTCCTCTTCGTTGGACGATTCCACCACCAATGGTCCATACGACAAATCCTACTATGACGGCGATCCTTTCTACCAGCATACTGATGATCCCTCTCCCAGCGCATCATCCCCATCTGCTTCCATTGATGATCCCTCTATCCCAACGTGCTTACATCGACACTGATAATCCCTCTCACAACGAATCTTCTGCTTCCATCGACACCGACGATTCCACTTCCGACGAATCATCCAACGTGCTTACATCGACACTGATTTTCCCTCTCCCTCTGAGTCATTCCCACCTGATTACATCGACAAATCCTACTACGACGATGCCAACGATCGATACCTTGATCCCAACACACTCCACCGTGATACTGACTTCGATTATTATTACAACAACAATGAAAATTGCTACACTCTACGACGATACCAGACGACTACTTCACTGATTCGTACGGCAATTCTTATTTCTGATTCCCATGCACTCCATTCCTTTTTCCCATCACTCTTTTCGGTTCTGCTCTCTCACTACTGGTCTTTCTTCTTTCACGTCTTTTGATCTCCAATGCTATCCCATTCCAGATCACGGGAGGGTGTTGCGCGAAGACAGACCAAATAGCTAGATAAGCAGCAACACTGCACTCTCACTTATCCTTTAGCATGACATTACACTGATTGATAGGTCTCTTGACAGGTTATCCGACCGAAAAATTC